CTAAGTTTGATTCTCTGCAAAATTTGATCCCTATGATTCCCCTAATGCTTCTCTGTTTAAACTAATAAGGAAGGTTAGTGCTCAGCTATATGGTGTTGCTTTTTTTGTACTCTGCCAACGGCTAATCTGCTAGGCATAAGTGTTAACTAATATTAGGCCATATATCTCCAAATTTTATGTCATACTGCAAACTCTTGATATCTTCTGCTATTTTCTTTGACACTGCAATTTCAATAACCATTTTCAGGTTACTTCAACAATCCACAAGCAACAATTGACAAAGATGGATAGGGTTGGGTACATACAGGAGATCTTGAATACTTTAATGAGGATGGGAATCTCTATGTTGTTGACAGAATTAAGGAGTTGATCAAGTATAAAAGTTTTTAGGTAACTTATTTGATTGCATTTTTTATATAATTAATATGGCTAATTTGCATTTTCTATCAAATAAAAGTTTTGGTGAAAAGAAAGACTCCTCAATCTTTATGAATATTAATGTCAAAAGGAATAGAGATGTACATAATAGTTTCTACATGCAAGACTTGGCTAACTCATTCTCTATTCCTTTAGGAACAATTTTAATAGAATTGTAGTAAAAGAATAATCGATGAGCATTTTGTGTATGGTTTTCCTTAATTAATATATCTTTCTTAGAAGTATTTCTTAGAATACAATTAATTCACATAAGTAGTTATTTAGAATTATCTGCTTTTGTATGAGTATATAAATATGTAATTTGTTTTCAATTGAATGACAGGAAAAAAATTATTTTCTTATCTTTTGACTAGATCTATTAATATCAAAATCATCCGTTCAAGTACTCTGAGTGTCTACGTAGAAACTCTTAGAAAACACACTGGATCTACCGAATAGCAAAAAAGCAATTTAAAGCCATTTCAACTTCATACAAGGAAAATCTTAAATATTTAGATGTGATTTTCTCATGCTGAATTTGGCATCAGAGATTCTGTATTCCATGTGAGACGTGGAGGGCCTGCCATGTTGTCTTAGCAGTGGGATGTCTTTTCCCGTTAATGTTGTAGTGTAAAGCAAATCTATGTTGTGTGTGTTTGTGGTTATGTGTATGTGTGTGTGTGTGGGGTGCCATGGTGCATGAATGGATTTTGATCCGTATGGTTATGGTCATTGATGCTTCTTTATATAATTTTAATATTGGTTATCTTTGGCCTATGCTTTCATACTATTCAACTAGGAGCTTCCTTATTTTGCTGATTATATTATACTTTGACTTTATGAGACACAATCTTTAATTAATTTTTAATTGATAGACAGAATTAGACACGGCTCCTTATCAAATTTTGTTTAAAACATACTGTAAAGATTCAAGCATCTTACAGAATTCATAATTTTTGAAACAGATTCCATTGTAGAAGTTTTTATCATAACTACTTTAAAGGTGGATTCTTTTGGAAATCAAGATATAGTCACTGAAGAGCTATTTCAAGCATTTGTTTTGTTAAGATATAGTAGATGGACTCGATTTTTATAAGAACATTGCGAAATTTTTATTTGGCTTAATTATAATCATAAAATTTTAATTTAAACAGAAATTTATTGATAAAAGTATATTTTTTATTAAAAGGATATAAAATAAAATTTATCTACTTACCATGATTATAATTGTTTAATTATGACTAAATTAATCATATTGAAATTTCATAACAACTCTCATGGGATAAAGTTCACCAGATCAAGTGAACTCTTTTTTGTTATAGGGAAAATATGGTTCATTGGGAGATAGTCATTGAAAAGTAATTATTGATCTTGAATGTATTAGTAGATAACTCTTGACATAACGTCATAGATGTGGCTTGAAATAATACCTTTTTGCACAGTAATTTATTTCATTAAATCCTGATACAGTAGTTTTTTTTTTCTCTTTTAATCAATAATAATGTTATCAATGACTAATGTTAATGAATACTGAATATTGAGGAGGGATATATTTATATAAGTGTAAGTATATATTATATATATTTTTTAATTTTTGAATTAAAATAATTGAATATAGGTATTATAAATTTAATTTTAATTTAAAAATTAAAAAAATATATAACACTTATATTAATATAAATATATCTCTATTCTTGAATATTGGCGATCAAGATAATTAATTAATGAAATCGTGGCTGCAATCTGCATAGCTGCATATCCAGGGTCTGGGGCTCTTGGCGAGTGCTTTTGCAACTCTATACATATATGTGTTGCATTGAATTTGGGTAGCTGCAGTGTTCTGGCTTTTAATTATTTATAACCCTTTCTGGTGGTTCAAAAGTTAATGTGCACGGATTCGAGAATGAGGAAGAACAGAAAAATTAAGGAACTTCCGCACATTGGAACACCTACCTCCTCTGATGATTCTGGTCTGTTTGAAACATATATTGTTCCCAATGTATTGCACAAAACGGATATGGTCTGACTCTGGGACATGTCACTTTAAAGCACAGTTGATATGTCTTCTTTCGTAGGCTGGCTTCAAGATAAAAAGCATGACTGCATCAGACTAAGGCATTATAGGGTACCTCTGGTTTCTGTTTTCTGTTTTCTCCCTCCATAGTTATTTGTACTTAAAAATTATCTAATAATTATGAATTTTAGTTCTTTTTTATTTCTTTTAATACTTTTTTTATTAAATTATAATAGTAATTTTTGAAAAAAAAATCAAATTTCATAATTTAACGATATTTTTATTAAAAATTACTGTTAAATATAATAATATTTTAAAATACAAACTTTGCTAATTGTTAAACTTAATGACTTTTTTTATACAAATATTCTTAAATTTAATGGTGTTTATAATAAAAAATATCATTATATTTTTCAACATAAATATAACTGATAATTTTAATATCGATTTTGATAGATGTTGTAAATTTTTAATGACATTTATAAACGTTATTGAATATATAAAAAAAAGACTGTTAAAAATTTATTCTTCTGTCATCATCTTTTTTCATATTTAATTTTATAAATGCTTCACTTATTTATAAGTATATTAATTTACTTATAAAAAATTTTTTATTTTAAAAATTTTTTTTTGCAAGTTTTATTGTTTATCAAATAATATTTAATTAATTTTAAATAAATTTATTATGAGATTTGAGTTATTATTATTAAATTTTAAATATTAAAAGGTGGGAAATGAAAGCTAATTTAATATGATTAATTTTTTTTTTCAATTAAGATAATATATATTATACAATTAAGATAATATATATGATTAAAATGTATAATATATATTATACATTCAAATCAAATCAGCTGTTACTGACTCTTACTTCTAACTTCTTACTTAACTTCACATTAAAAAATCAGGGGTCTACTCTTTTATTTTACATAGGAGTCGTTTTGAGTTAGTTCATTTGGTTATTTCATCTGGCCATGGCGATGTAGATTTGTGGAGGAAAGTCAAGATTTTGCAGCTATCAACTTCAGTGGAAAATACCCAGGATACTTCATAAACCAATGAAAGCAAATGCTAGTATTTTTTCTTATCAAAGTTTCCACATCTGACTTGACTCCAGCAAATATAATGGCCGCCTAACATGAATTTCATTTGCATAATAATTCCTTTCTCCTACTTCTCCACTGGGGCACAAAAAAAAAAAAGAAGGAAAAATTGCAGTTTTTCATAACCTAGGAGATGGGGCAGTTCTGCATAGAGCTAAACTTGGATATCATGGGACTTCTCCTTGCACTCGTTATCGCTATCGCCCTCCTGCTTTCCTGTGTCAATCAACCTCCCCGGCGACCTATGGTTGTTACATATCGTGTAGGTTGGTAAGGTTTGTGAAGGGCTCCTTCATCACAGACTTTTCCCGTTTAGGCTTTTTTGAGTTGTTTCTCTTGGACTCTGTTTTTCAAGTTTGTAGTCTGGCTTGTCATATGTTGAGAATTCTGATTGAGCCACTGAACTGATATAGGGTTAGCTATCCTTTAAAAGTCTGATAGCAATCTATGGTACCGTGGAATCGACTCACCACTGAGGGTCCCGAGTTCGAACCTAGTTGTAGCCTAAAAGAACAAAAAACAAATATAAGTTTGTAACAAAGTTTTTCTACTAGTCCTCTTAATAAGAACATGGAAGATTAAATTGATCTTGTTGATGACAGAATTCTCCTGTTTTTATGATTTTGTTGAATAAAGGGCCCTGAGGGAGGGATGGGAGATGGATCGTACAAACTCCTTTTATGTCCTAAATTTTTGCATCTGAAAGTGAAAATTGTTGATGTAAAACAGTTGCAAAGTTTGTTTGATGTGGGTGAAGAGGTTAACAGTTACTACTTGTAAACAAAAAAACCAAAGGAAATTACCATGTCATCGTTACAGATAAAAAATGGTACATGGATTTCGACCAAATGTAACACATGGCATAAAAATAGCTTAAAAAATGCCTCAAATTCACTTCAGTGCAATTTGTTTTCCAAAAGAGATCGATGGTAATTTCAGGAAGACAATCAACTAATTATTGAAATATATGTTGCTGAAAGTATGTAGTACTATGTAACAATACAGAAAAAATTTAGGACAAACAGATTTAGAGTCCCAACAAGAATGAAGAGAAAATTTAATGAAATACGATTACTAAAGGACAAAGAAGAATGCTCTCTTTAGTGGAGAAGCAGAAACCAAAGGTTTTTTCATTCAAAAAGTGTAGAATTTAAACTCCCCCTCCCTCTAGCCCCTTCACCATAAAATGGATCATGAAAGGCACATAAAGGTGTCTTAAGCCTCAAGTTTTCTTGGTAGGTCACAGCCTAAGAATAGGAAAAGGAGTTGCAATTGCTTAGACCTATTGAATGTTGTTTTTTAAGAGTGATCGTATGAACTAGCTCTAAATTCTAAACCGCAAGTTTCTTGATGTTGAGCTGTTAGCACCAAACAAACTGATAGTAATTTGAAAGATGCCAAATTCAATGGTAATTAGAAATACTAGCCAATTTTAATTTACACCATCGTGTATTGATGGAAAGTCCACATTTCACAGCTAACCTTTGTTTGAATTTTCCGGGAGTCTGCATCAAACCAATGAACACGCAGTTAGAATAATACTTTTTCACATTGGAGTTGACTTGAAGTCCGAGAAATATAAGAACCATTAACATGTATGGAATTTGCATTCCTTTTCTCCCAACTCCAAGCCCCCTTTTGACACAGGAAACTGAAGCCGGTGCTCATCCTATTGGAGATGGGGAAAGTCATCTGCTCCGAATTAAATGAAGGGAATGGTTTGGATCTCACACAGTTTGTCATGGCGGTGGTTATTGCTCTCACCCTCATGGCCATCTGCATCCGACCACCTCCCCGGCGAGCTATAGTTGTGGCACGGCGTATAGGCTGAGAAAGTTGATCATATTGGACTGGATAGGAAGGTCCCTGATCACTTGCTTCCAAAGTTAGCTGTAGAAGGGAATTTTGTTTTCTAGATTATGTGGGTGGTGTTGTCTTTTTCATTGTTAGCAGAACTCAGCCTGGTATAGTTCTACTAGATGAGTTATGTCCACCTTAATCTCGCGGCATGTTTAGATTATGATAGTAATATAGGGTTAGCCATCCTTGTCCTTTAGATTATGATAGTGATATAGATTTGTCAGGGCGGTTCCTGTGGACGAACCTTGGGATGGACTCTACGATCTTCATTTCTAGTTTTGCCCAACAAATATTACAGATAAAACTGGATAGAGGCAATAATAAATCAACATATGCACAGGTAAATGTTGAGACAAAAATGCTGCTGTTTCATACTTTATATTTAAAAACTAACATGAAGGTTTTTAGATTGGATGCGAAAACTCCTTTAGCCATCCAAATGATACAGGAGCATGAAGAAAATCCCTTGTTTTGGGCAATTAACATTACATTGCCAAAATTCCCCTGTATCACCACTATGTTCTCCAAATCAGCTACTGTGCGCACTAAAGAAGTACAAAACAAGGAATATCAAATTTTAAATTACTGATTTTTATTAACAGAAGCACTAGATGAACTCTGTATGGATTGCAAAAGATGCTGGATTCGATATTTCATTACAGGTTGACCATGTCGTGTCTTTTTGAACATCTCCTTCCTTCCTGCCTTTCTCTGAACTTCAGCTTTCTCTTTCTGTTCCTTCTTTGCTTGAATAATTGCCTCCCTCTCCATCCTTAACTTCTCTTTCTCCTCCCGCTGCTTCTCATACAATTCTCTCAAACTGTGTGAACTATTCTTCTTCTTCTTGTTCTTTTTGTTGGTCCAACTACTAACTATGTCTTCATTCTCCTCCTATAACAGGCCTTGGATTAGCAAACTCAGTCTGTTCTAAAAGTACATAAAAAAATTATGTCTAGATGCATGCAAGGGATACCGATATAGAATTCGGATTACATGTTTCCAACAGAATCATCTGTTTTTCTCAGCTGAATAAATATCCAGCATCTCCTAGATTATAAATAATTTTAGAAAGAATCAATCAAAGAGCAATTTAGATTTTTGAACTCATTCATATAGGTTTTGCTTCACGTTTACAAATCCATATGTTATCCAACAACACTTCAGATTATAACTAAAACGCTTAATCACTCATCCAATGAACACCAATAATAAAAACAACTTAAAACAGATTTCAACCCAATTTAGAGCTAGACTATTTGTCCTCTAATTTAAAATGAAAAAAGAAAAAAACATAGCAAGTTAATTATAATATAAAAAAAGGTTAATGTTACGAATGATCAATTATAATAAAACGTTCAATGTGATATCTAAATTTTAAAAATATCTAATGTGATACTTGAATTATGAATCTGTTAATTAATATAATCCTTGAAAAGTTATTTGTTAGCACGAGTCATTGTTTGAAGCTAAATACATCAAAAAGCTAAATCCGTTAAGAGTGAGTAGCACATTTATTACCAGATTTATAGTTCAAATATCACATTAAAAATTTTTAAAATCCAAGTATCACATTGAATATTTCACTATATTAATATTAATACAATATAAAATTTGCTCCATGATAACAAACCTCGGGGGTTCTTATAGCTGAAGGAAGATCATTCCCCTGATTTTGTTGCTTCAGTGACTTCTTATACTTGTTAACATGCTTAGCATTCTTATAGAACTCTCTTTTCTTCTCTGAGAAAAACAAATTGCCAGTAACAAGATTAAAATGGAAAAAAAAAAAAACAGAAAACATAAATCAGGCAAAAAAGTAAATTATAAATATAACAAAAAATCAAACCATCAAATAAAGAAAGAAGGGAATTTATACTTATTAAGGCAGGATTGTAATGATTGGTGGTGGATTTGGCATTAGCGAATGCTTGAAGCGAAAGACCAGTTCCTCCCAATCGGTTGATGTTCTTTTTCTTCTTCATAGTAATCGGTTTTGGGCCCTCCATCTCAATCCTGTAGCCGTTTCCGTTTCCGTTCGGCTTCCGATTTTTCATTGTCGCAAAAACAAGAGTGGAATACTACGAATTGCGGAAAAGTTGAACTGTCTCCAAACCCTAATTTCTTTCTTTCTTTTTACGGAGATAAGTGTTTTGGGAACAAAATCCTCTGAACCCGACTCGTGTCCCGTCTCCTTGCGCACCTACCCACATACATGCCATGTGTTTGAATGGTTGCGAATATATATATATTTTAATTCTAAACAATGTAATGGAACAACTTTCGAAAAAAAAAAAATCAATAATATACGATATTTTTTATATTTTTATTATAATTGATTAAATTTTAAAATTTTATTTTGAATTGATTAAATTTTTAAATATGTATTTTTATTTAATTAAACCTTAACTATATATTTTTATCTCAATTAAACTTTGATTAGATAAAAATGAATATTGATAGTTAATCAAATTTTGTCTAATAAAAATTTAATTGATAAAAATAGATATTTTAGAATTTAATTAGTTGTAATAAAATGATAAATACTTGACTGATTATTGAATTTTTATTTGAGAATTTTTAATCATAACTTTTTTTATATCAATAAATTATAAGAATATAAAATTATAAATCATAATATAATATATTACAAAGATATAAAACTAAAAATCTTATAAAAATGCAAAAGAAATAATAATAATAAAATATTAAACTTAATTTATATGTAAAAGTAAAATATCAAATATAAATCACATTTTGAGATAAAAAATACACTAAGAGTCTACCTATAAAACATTAAGTGTCATTTAAAATATAATTTAAATTAATTATAATATAAATTATAAATTATAAATATTATTATAAAAAATTTATTTCCATATCATTGGTTGACATGTCATTTGTCAACCAATGATTAAAGGTGTAAATGATACATTAGTACTCGTAAGCTACTCAGGTTCGATTTGAAAAAAACTCGAATTCGCGTTCGATTATTGTTGAGTCGAGCTCGAGTTCGAGTAGCTCGAACTTATCGATTGAGCCGAATTCGAATATTCTTATATTTGACTCGAGTAGCTCGCGAGCCTTAATTGAGCTTTTATATTTAAATATATTTTTATTTATTTTAATTAATAAAATATTTCGAGTCCGAGTTCGAGTTTGAGTTTCGAGCCATGAATAATCGAACTATTGTCGAGTATACGAATCGAGCTTATTTTTACATATTAATCGAGCTTAATCGAACAAGTTCGAGTAGCTCGGAATTCGATCACGAATCGAGCCGAGCTAAAAAATTAAAAATTCGATCGAACTCAAGTCGAGTATCGAGCCTCGAGTTGTGAGTCGAGCTCAAGCTCGAGCTTCTCACTATTCGGCTCGACTCGGCTCGTTTACAGCCCTACCAATGACCCCTATAAATGTGAACAATTTATACATGGAGAATAATGAC